AAAAAGAAAAGAAAAAGAAGTATTGGTAAAATAAAAGTAGAAATGTCTTCAGAATTGGCAGTATACATTTTTGCTTAGGTTTACTGGTCAGACAGTTTTATATTTATCTCTAGTATATGTTTTAAGGTAGCAGGGTCTGACACAAGGATAATAAGACTGTAAATCCAGTTTCAAACAAAATGATCTGTGTTTGTGTAATTTTTTGTTGCCAGAGACAGGGTCTTGTTCTGTTGTCCAGGTAGCATGATACAGCTCACTGTAACCTTAAACGTCTGGGCTCAAGTGATCCTCCTGCCTCAGCCTCTTGAGTAGCTAGAACGACAGGTAAATGGAACCACACCCAGCTAATTTTTGTATTTTTAGTAGAGGCGGGGTTTCACCATGTTGGCCAGGCTAGTCTCTAACTCCTGCCTGCCTCAGCCTCCCAAAGTGCTGGGATTACAGGCGTGAGCCACCATGCCTGGCTACTACTTTCCTTTGAAATTAACATATATCTGTAGGGAGACACAAGACTATGTAAATAATTTTTTTTTTAGACGGAGTCTTGTTTTGTCGCCCAGTCTGAGCCACCACACTCAGCAATAATTTCTTATAAACTTTTCATGTAATTTTTAATCTTCAAGTATGTTTTATTAAATTAACTATTAGATATTCATCAGGTACATGGATTATTTCCAAGTAAGAAGAAAGAACTGAAACAAATTGCTGAACATAAATATGTTTTTGCCTGTGCCTGTCTTCTTAAATTTTATAGAATAACTAAGTATAGCTGGTCTTTTTTTGTTGTTAAGTGACTGTCGCTTTGCAAAAGAAAATATGGTCAGCCATTAAGAGCTGTGTAGTGTGCTGGGAATGTGCCAGCCCAGGGATTTCTCTCTCCCTCTTTTTTTCTTTTTTTGAGACGGAGTCTCACTCTGTTGCCCATGCTGAAGTGCAATGGTATGATCTCGGCTTACCACAACCTCTGCCTCCCAGGTTCAAGTGATTCTCCTGCCTCAGCCTCCCTAGTAGCTGAGACTACAGACCCCTGCTATTACACCCAGCTAATTTTTGTATTTTTAGTAGAGACAGCGTTTCACTGTGTTGGCCAGGCTGGTCTCAAACTCCTGACCTCAGGTGATCCCCCCGCCTTGGCCTCCCAAAGTGCTGGGAATACTGGTATGAGCCACCACCCCTGGCCAAGCCCAGGGACTTCTGTCTATTCTTCTTCTGTCTATTTCTGTCTATTCTTCTGTTGTCCCGGCCGACACATGCTCACCCGCACATACATTGGTCATGTGACTTTGGGCACGTCACCTCCTTTCTTTAGGCCTTACTCTTGTCATCTGTGGGTGAGTGAGTCAAACTAGAGAATTGCAGAACATCTCCCGGACTCCAGAGCCTGATGACATCTCGTCACACTGCTCCAGGCTCCTCCCACCCTCAGCCCCAGGAGAGAGGGACAGACATGGGGAGCAGGTAGGATGGTCGGGGTTTTTATACCCAGGACTCCTCCCAGAGGCCTGACATTTTTGTTCCCCAAGCTCACCTCACTGATATTTCCAACCAAAATGGAGGCTAAATGGTCTGAAGAGAGAGACTTATGTTAATTAAAAGTCTGAGGCAAGGGCCAGCGTGGTGACTCACACCTATAATCCCAGCACTTTGGGAGGTTGAGGCAGGAGGATCTCTTGAGGCCAGGAGCTCAAGACCAGCCTGGGCAACATAGCAAGACCCCATCTCTACCCAACAAAAATTAAATTAAAAAAAAAGTGTGAAGGAAGCTGGCCAAGCAAGGGGTGTCTGAGGGGGCTGGATGGCAGGAGCAGATCTGGGAGGCACCATGGATTGGACAAGGTAGGATGGGGCGGGGCAGCCTCCCAGGAGGAGCAGCAGGGGAGGCACCATGTTTCTCTGAGAATGTACGGGCCAGAGTCTCTGTGTCCTTTTTTTGTTTGTTTGTTTTTTTAAGATGGAGTCTTGCTCTTTCACCCAGGCTAGAGTGTGGTGGCCATCCGGCCATCAGCTCATTGCAGCCTCCATGTCCCGGGTTCAAGTGATTCTCCTGCCTCAGCTTTCCGAGTAGCTGGGATTAGGGGCGCCCTCCACCACACCCAGCTAATTTTTGTATTTTTTAGTACAGATGGAGTTTTGCCATGTTGGCCAGACTGGTCTCGAACTCCTGACCTCAGGTGATCCACCCGCCTTGCTCTCCCAAAATGCTGGGATTACAGAGATGAGCCACCACGCCTGTCTCCTGTGTCCTCTTTCTCAGCTTCTGTGTGAATGTTCTGGGGCCTGGGCCTGGCTATGGGGTGACACTAAGTTCAACAGAGCCACTGCCCATTCCAGCCCCACCCTACCCCAGGAAACGCCTCCTCACCGCAGTGACCACATCCCCTTGGGTTGCTTTGGAAACAAACACTCCCCGGGGGCAGGCAAGTTGGGGCACAGTTGCCCAGCAACAAGCGGTACCCTCCCTTCCGCCCTCATCGGAGGCCCAGCCTCTACGTCTGAAAGGCGACTACCCTGCGCCCTCCAAACCTGCACCTTCCAGTCTGGCACCAGGAAGAGTGGTTCCAGGAGGGAGAGTAGGCTGGGGACTGATCCAAGGTAAGCTGAGGGGTGCAGGAGGCCCCTGTAGGTGGAGGATGTGGGGGACAGAGGGAGGTGCTCAGAGACAAGCAAGAGAGAGAGAGACAGGGCCGAGCCTGGGCAAAGCTGGAGAGCCCGGGAGGGTGCAAAGCCACCTCCGGAAGACCAGCCACCCAGCAGCAAATTCCACGGAGCCTATGAGAGCAAGATCAAGTCCGAGGAGAGTGGTGAGGGGCGAAGGAGCCCCAAGGGGCCAGCGGAGCTGCTGGTGGGAGGTGGTGGGGGTGTGGGATGGGGGGAGCACACACCCGGAGGAGCCGGTGGGAGGAGAGGTTCTCATTTCTTTACCCACCACTTCCTCTCTAGGTCTGAGCAAGACTTGAGGGGGCCAAGTGGGGAGGAAAGAGGCCCTGGAGGCCTTTCTTGTCTGTGGCACCCTGGGTTCCGGGCTGGAAATGGGGCTTGTGGAAAGGCTGGAGGGGCTGGCTGCGCGCCCAGGTAGGCTGCCTGTCCTCTGGCCCCACCTGGCTCACGCCTACCCTTTCTAGTCCCCCTTGCTCCTCTGTCTCTCCAGAATGTTCTTTTTCTTTTCTGAGAAAGGGTCTTGCTCTGTCACCCAGGCTGGACGACAGTGGCGCAATCTGGGCTCACTGCAGCCTTGAACCCCTGGGCTCAAGTGATCCTCCCACTTTGGCTTCCTGTGTAGTCCTCCAGGACTACAGATGTGAGCCACCACACCCAGCTAGTTTTTAAATTATCTGTAGAGATGGGGTTTCACTGTGTTGTCCAAGCTGGTCTTGAACTCCTGGGCTCAAGCAATCCTCCCGCCTCGGCCTCTCAAAGTGCTGGGATTCCAGACATGAGCCCCCTGCCCGGCCCCTCTCCCAGGCTTTCCTGGACACCTGCTGCCTCTCTCATCTTGGTTGTGCCCGCTCTGCCTCATTTGCTTCCTCTTCTCACCCCTGTGTCTCCCAGATGCTGTTGACTCCAGAGTCACCCTCTGGGCATGTGGAGGGGACTCCCATGTGGGAGGCAGCCCCGTGGCCCTCGCTGCCCTGCGGGCCCTGCATCCCTATCATGCTGGCCCTGGCCGCCCTGGCTGCGCTCTTCATCCTCACCACTGCTGTGTTGGCTGAACGCCTGTTCCGCCGCGCTCTCCACCCAGACCCCGGCCACCGTGCACCCACCCTGGTGTGGCGCCCAGGAGGAGAGCTGTGGATCGAGCCCATGGGCACCCCCCGAGAGCGCTCTGAGGACTGGTACGGCTCTGCAGTCCCCCTGCTGACGGACCAGGCCCCTGAGCCTCCCACCCAGATGGGCGCCCTGGAGGCCCGAGCGACCGCCCCACCTGCCCCCTCAGCCCCGCACTCTGCTCCCAGCTCCTTGGGCCCCCAGACCCCACCAGAGGTCCCAGCCCGGAGCACCTTCTGGGGGCCCCAGCCCTGGGAGGGGAGGCCCCCTGTCACAGGCCTGGTGAGCTGGGCTGAACCCGAGCAGAGGCCAGATGCCAGTGCCCAGTTTGGGAGCCCCCAGGCCAGGAGACAGCGGCCAGGGAGCCCAGATCCTGAGTGGGGCCTCCAGCCACGGGTCACCTTGGAGCAGATCTCAGCCTTTTGGAAGCGTGAAGGCCGGACCAGTGTGGGGTTCTGAATCCCCAGGGTCCCCCAGAGACCCTCAAGGAAGACACTGCCTCAGTGGGACCAGGGACCCCAGGATCTAGCATTAGGGTTGAGCCTGAGGCTACTGCAGGGAAGATGCGCCTCCCAGGCCCCTTCCATCTGGATTCCCTGTCCCCGGGTCCAGGTGGTGGCCAGGCTGTGGGACCAGGGGAAGCCCAGCAGTGCCTCTGCTCAGCTGCCTGGGCTGTGGCTTAGAGACCTGGGCTGTGGCTGGAGACCAACTCCGGGCTAGAAGCCTTCAAGATCGCATCCGGATGAAGCAGCGAAGGTACCAGCCAGGAAGGAAATGGCATCTACCAGCCACCTCCACCTCCCTCAGTGTTTACCGAAGCCCCAATACCAGAGCGAAAGGGTCCTGCGGTGCTGAATAGCCTTGGCATGGCGATGTCAGCTGTCAGTTGTGCTGGCAGGAGATGGCAGGAATCCAGCTTCCCAGAGCCACAGATCCTGTTCTCCTTGGTCACTCACCCCCTGTGAGGTCCTCCAGGAAAATACACAAAGAGAGGACCAGACAAGGCAGAGGAGCATTTTATTACAAATGAACTGTGACTTTGACCCCCAAACTGCAAGGGGGAACTTGCTGAGCCAAGCTGGAGCAGCGCTGTCTTGCTGGAGTGGGGACCTGGAGTCAGAAAACCCACAGGCTCCTCTGCCCGTCCTCCTCCATCTGCACACACCTCAGCTTTGGACTCTCACCACTCCATGACTAGCAAGACCCCGGCCAGGGAGAACTGAGTTTCATCCAATGTGGAGAGGAACGTTGTCCCAGAGCAGGGCAGCTCCCAAACTGTGCCCTCTGGTCATGGTCCCTCCCAGCTTGCTGGAGTATCCAGAGAAACAGATTTGCCACAGCTAGTCTTACTTATAATGTCCACCCCATAGAAATGGGGCCACGAGTACCCCGATATCCCCTTTAGGAGAAACGAGCAGGTGAGCAGCAGATGGAATTTCCATTTTCCTGGGAGTCTAATTTCCCAAACATCATCCTTTTTCTTTTCTTTTT